TGAAACTCTCCAGTTCTCCTCTCTAAGGGCTCTAAATCAGCATGAGGGTAGAAGGTTCTGGGCACCTCCACCATCGCCACTAACAAGTCCTCAGGAGAGAAAAGTCACTGCATTTAGGGGCTATTCTTACCATTTTAAAACACTAGGCCAAAAGGGTTTGATTTAAGTCCCTATTTGTGCTGTCACTATCACCAGTTTTGTTATATCTGCATCAGATTATCTCCCCATTTCTCCCTCTTTTGTAATTAATTCCTAAATAATATTTTACCTTGTATGCAACTCGACATTGCATACTCTTATTTATTGCACCTACAATAAAGAGAGCGATGGGGGGAGGAGGGATCTACTTCAGTGATTAATTCATAGGTGATAGCCTAATACATAGCCTATCATGTCCCATCTCAGTTTTCTCTTTTATAAGCTAAACAAATCCAGTTCTTTCAGTCTTCCCTCATAAGTCACATTTTCTAGATCATTAATCATTTGTATTTCTCTTCTCTTGGACCTTCTCCAGTTTCTCCACATCTTTCCTGAAATATGGTGCTCAGAACAGGACACAATATTCCAAAGGAGGCCTTATCAGAACAGAGTACAGGCAGTCCCCGGGTTACATGGATCCGACTTACATCGGATCCCTACTTACAAACGGGGTGAGGCAACCCCGCACTAGCTGCTTCCCCCCAGCAGACCAGGGAGACGCGGAGCTAGCGCCCCCCCAGCAGACCAGGGAGACGCGGAGCTAGCGCCCCCCCAGCAGACCAGGGAGACGCGGAGCTAGCGCCCCCCCAGCAGACCAGGGAGACGCGGAGCTAGCGCCCCCCCAGCAGACCAGGGAGACGCGGAGCTAGCGCTCCCCCCAGCAGACCAGGGAGACGCGAAGCTAGCGCTCCCCCCAGCAGACCAGGGAGACGCGGAGCGGCTTTTCTCAGCAGACACCTCAGCTTGAGAATAAAGGACTGAGGGAAGTGAGGTGTGGGAGAATAAAACTGAGCTCTGGAGAAATGTTTGGCTAGAGTTTCCCCTACAATATGTACCAGTTCCGACTTACATACAAATTCAACTTAAGAACAAACCTACAGTCCCTATCTTGTACGTAACCCGGGGATTGCCTGTATAGCAGAAGAATTACTTCTGGGCTATGTCTTCACTGGCACCCTTTTCCGGAAATGCTTAAAACGGAACAGTTTTCCGTTATAAGTATTTCCGGAAAAAGCGCGTCTACATTGGCAGGTCCATGGCCAATGTAGACGCGCTTTTCCGGAAAAAAGCCCCGATCGTCATTTTCGCGATCGGGGCTTTTTTGTGGAAAAGACTACTGTGCTGTCTACACTGGCCCTTTTCCGGAACAGTTTTTCTGGAAAAGGACTTTTGCCCGAACGGGAGCAGCATAGTTTTTCCGGAAAAACACTGACAATTTTACAGTAGATAGTCATTGTTTTTTCGGAAAAGCAAGCGGCCAGTGTAGACAGCTGGCAAGTTATTCCGGAAAAGCGGCTGCTTTTCCGGAATAAATGGCCCAGTGTAGACACAGCCCTGATGTTTTGCTTACAACACTCCTGTTGATGTATCCCAGAACTAGGTTTGCATTTTTTGGAAGTGTCACACTATTCACTCCTATTTACCCTGTGGTTCCTATGACCCTTAGATTCCTCTCTGCAGTACTTCCTCTTAAGATAGTCACTTCCCACTTTGTATGTGTGAAACTGTTTATTCCTTCCTAAGTGGATCCCAACTTGTGATGCCTTTCCAGCATGACTGTGAACCATTGATAAGTACTCTCTCAGAACTCTTATCCTACCAGTTATGCACCCATCTTATAGTAGCTCCATCTAGGTTGTATTTCCCTAATTTATTGATAAGGATGCATTCCATGAGGCCCTGGTGACTTGAAGACATCTAACTTTTCTAAGTAATTTTTAACTTATTCTTTTCCTATTTTACCTTCTGAGCCTACATGATTTTCACTGGCATTCATAATGTTAGGCATCCATTCTTGGTGACAACTGACACAAAGATGTCATTAAGCATTGCTGCCATTTCCACATTTTCTGTTATTGTTTTTCCCTCTTAATTAAGCAATTGGCCTACGCTGTCCTTGGTCTTCCTCTTGCTTCTTATATATTTTAAGAATATTTTCTTGTTAACCTTTATGTCTCTAGCTAGATTGAGCTCATTTTGTGCCTTTGCCTTTCAAATTTTGCACCTACAGATTTGTGTTTATATTCATCCTTTCTATTTGACCAGTTTTCATTTTTTATAAGATTTAAGATCTCCTGGTTAATCCAGGGTGACCTCTTGCTATACTTCCTATCTTTTCTACGCAGTGGAATGGTGTGCTTTTGTACCCTTAATAAAGTCCTTTTGAAAAACGGACAACTGTCTTCAATTGTTTTTCCTCTTAGTCTTGTTTCCCATGGCACTTTAACTACCAGCTCCCTGAGTTTACTAAAATCTGCCTTCTGGAAATCCACTGTCTTTGTTTTGCTGTTCTCCTTTCTACCGTTCTATAGAATCATTAACTCTGATTTCATGATCACTCTCACCTACGCTGCCTTCCACCATCAACTTCTGAACCAATACTTCCCTATTCATTAAAATCAAATCTAGAACAGATCACCCAATAGCTTTCTCCACTTTCTGAAATAAAAAATGTCTCCAATGCATTCCAACAATGACCTGCTGTGACCTGCTGGCTGTTATTTCCCCAACAAGTATCTGTATAGTTGAAGACTCCCATCAACCATCTAGTCCTGTGCCTTGAATGATTTTTGTTAGTTATTTAAAAAAAGCCTCATCTACCTCTTCTTCTTGATTAGGTGGTTTCTAGTAGACCCCCTAGCATGACATCACCCTAATTTTTTATCCTTTTTAATCTTCTCCAGAGACTCTCAACAAGTCTGTCTCCTATGTCCATCTCAACTTGAGTCCAAGTGTATACAGCCGGTCTCCGACTTATGACCACCTCCACTTACGACCATCTGCACTTATGACCAAAGCGGTCAGAAATGCGGTCCCCAAGCTACAAACGTGATCCACGCTTACAAACAGCGTGGTCGCCATGTAACTCAATGGGATCCGAGTTACGAACACTTCAAGTTACGGCCAAGTGTTTGGTCCATAACTCGTTCGTAACTCAGGGACCGGCTGTACATTTTTAATATATAAAGCAACACCTCTTCCTTTTTCCTCCAGCATATTCTTCCTGAGCAAGCTGTACCCTTCTATAACAATATTCCAACCATGTATTATCCCACCATGTTTCTGTTGTACCAACTATGTCATAGTTGTGTTTCCTTACTAACATTCAATGGAAATGACTCCCATTGATTTAATAAGTTGTAAGTGTGTGCCCAGAGCTACACTACAGAAACTTTCTGACAGCTTAACAGGATACTGGATCAACAAGAGGTTTACTAAAAGAACATCTGAACTATACTGTGTTTGGAATTTAATTACAAATATCTAGATACCATCATTTCAGCAACATTTCTGAGTTTGTATATTATATAGCAAAATCAGTAAAGGAGGCATCCACCCAGTGAAACAAAATGTAGTGCAAACTTATGACTGCAATATGTACACCACAGGATACTTTGGATACTACTTTGTGTATATACTCTTCCAAGACATCCTCTTGTCAGATTAAGGTTGAATGGACCTTTCAAAGACTTCTCAATTGTTGTCATACAAAAGGCCAGCCTGTTACGCAGTTAATTTGAGATGTCTGCCAGCTGGCATTCCACTTACTATTACATGATTTTATACCTACTAGAAAACTTTTGTTCTGAGGGTCAGACTGTCATTCTGATTCAGTACAAGTGGGATGTATTGAAGACTGAAGTATGCAAGCGCTCTAAGAACCCAAAAGATAAGTTGTGACCTAGCTCCTCTCTCAAGATGCGTTGGGAGTGAAACAGAAGTTTTACATCCAGGCATTGTTGATTTTCATCTGAAGTGAGTTGTGCCCACAAAGCTCATGACACCATCTACACGTTTTGTTAGTCTTTAAAGTGCTACCAGACTATTTGTTTTTTCTTTTTAAGTTTATCCTGTACAGATTAACTCGGCCTCCCCCTGCAGCTATCAGAGCATAGGTCAGGAACCTAAAGCCTGGGGGCCAGAAGCCCCTGAGGTTCAGGACTCCCCGAGCACTGGGGCTCCAGATCCCCCGCCATCCGTGAGGCATGTTTGACTTTTGTTAGTCTTTAAAGTGCTACCAGACTATTTGTTTTTTCTTTTTAAGTTTATCCTGTACAGATTAACTCGGCCTCCCCCTGCAGCTATCAGAGCATAGGTCAGGAACCTAAAGCCTGGGGGCCAGAAGCCCCTGAGGTTCAGGACTCCCCGAGCACTGGGGCTCCAGATCCCCCGCCATCCGTGAGGCATGTTTGACGTGAGGAAGTGGGGTGTTTGGGGGGATTTTTTGCTCACCTGTGGGCAGCCCCAACTAGTTTTTGCTGCGGGCCAGCGGCCCCATTACAGGCTCCCCACCCCCGTGGGAGAGGCAGCGGGCTCGCCACGCTCCGTCTGAGCGAAACAGGTTTAGCCTTTCAGTTCGGAGTCAAACCCGGCTGGAGGCCAACTTGTCACCGCCGCCTGGGCTACAAACACGCAGCGCCCAAGCAGGCGCGAGGGGGGCAGAGCTACCGCCACGCGCCCGCGCCCCTGCCGAGCGCAGGGAAACCCCGTAGAGCGCAAGGCACGCCACTGGCCTTCCATAGGGCCGTTCCCTTGCGTCAACGCTCCCCGCGGCTGCGCGAGCGGCCCAGGGAACCAACGGTAGCTCCCACAACACCCCCTCCA